TTAAGCAATTACCTGATAAATTCTAGAATGAGCTGGATCTACATATTAGGGTCAACATTCTACCAATGAGAGGGAACAGAATAAATCAAAAATACTGATCGGCCAAGCACAGCTAGTCCAATATGTGAAAACGAGTCTACTTAACGGGCGGCATATGTTTGTGGAGGTTTTAGTTTTTTAGTTTTTATATGGAGGTTTTAGTGAAGTGATCTCCAGCCAAAACCCGAAGGTTCATCTCCCAAACGAACGGAAAAAGAGATTTCAACGGATTTGCTTGTTCTTTTCTTTTACCCTGACCTCGGTTTGATGTTCGCGTTGCGCAGATTTGTGGGCAGTATCTGGGGAGGTCCATCGACTGGATTTGCGATGTTTTTTCGTCGCAAATTATGCAAATGAGGTCAGTTTTGTTTTCTACTTTAGTGCATTAAGATGACAAAAAGAAAAAGGTTTAACACACAGTTTAGTTTAGAAACGGCATTTACACCATTTTAAAAACAAGAATGTGTGAAAACATTTGTAGTTATGCGATAATAGTATGATTTCTTGACCTATCAGGCGAGCGCGCGACCTGAAAACCGACTTGAAAATAATGCGCGCTCGAGTCATTTTCAGCCAATCACGAATCGAGAAATAACACATTCTCACAGAGTCTCTCACGCATTGGCTTCCTTTGGATGGCAAAAGTGCGGGCTCTGGGTACGAGATTGCAATGAAATCAGGGGTACCTCTAAATACGAAATAATATCAGAGTATGAATCAGAATGCCTAACATGAGCTTCTTTACTTCTTCTCAATTTATAGTATCTCATGAAGACTCCCGAGAACCCCGCTTGAAGATTCCACCARTTATGGACAACATGGTAGTTAAAATCAAGTTCAATACTCTTATGCTACCAACATCAAAAGATAATACCGTTGTCGAGATCGCAAAATTTGAAACGGCGCACAAAGACAGGGTGAAATACAGCTTCCGACCGAAAAATATAACTCTTTACTCAGAAAAAACATTACCTCTAGGTCAGAGGATAACTTTAATTGAGACATATTTAAACAGAGAGGATGTTCAAAGGTATGTGCTAATAATATATCCATAATTTTTTTTTGTGTGAATTCTGCTAACAGTTCCCTTCGAGCTCTAAAGTGARTGTTTACTCGTGCTGCACTTCAAGCATAGCCTTCAAGCGCCCGCGATATTCTATATCCTGATGGCTGGGCGTACGCGACATGGTCGTCAAATTATGCCGCTTGTGCCTAAAGGTGTTTGAGGGACCTCCCTGAGAATAGGCAAATTAATATCGATCTGTCAAAATCTACATCATAYCAAACAATTGCTTCGGAGAAAAATTCATTCGTTTGCCAAACTTTTGCTGACCAAATATGGCAAACTTACCTTATAAGCAAGAAGTACGTTAGAAAGATTATTTTTCAAAGTTTTTTCCAACTTTTAGTGCTTTAAAATTGCTACAACTTACAGAATTAGTAGAGAAATTACTTTTCAACGTAAAAGGACCCCACAAAAACACAGGTAGACCGCGCGAATGTTAGGCAATTGTTTGATATGTATAAAAGTGACAGGAAATACTTGGACAAGCGATATTTTTTTGCCACATTTTATAGTTCATGTTCGGTTAACTGAACACATAAACGAGAGCGCCAAAGTCATTCAAATATATTATGTCTTTTATCATATGTAGTGATTTTAAGGATGGAAGAGTTGTCTTATTTCTTCGTGTACGAAGTAACAATATGCACCAAAAACACCTCAAGACCACGTACGAATGGATGTGGAGCAAATTGCTGACTTTTAACAATGCTTCAGCAAATTCAGCGAAGCGATGCCAAAAATGGGCAGAAAAAGAGAGAGACATCGTGCCATACGTTGGTATGTAGATGAAGTTTATAGTGGCGTTTATTTCGTATGTACCCATTAATAGTCCTATTCTTATCTAGTCCACTGTCTAAAATATAGCATGTGAGTTCATTCTATCACGGATTTTATCAAACATACATGAAATACACCTATTTCAGAAAACGTTGGCTGAAACGATGATTGTCTGAGGGAGATTGCTCGACCGAAAGGAACTATAGTTACGCTCTTTTGAAAAATAAAATGTCACTTATTGGATTCACCTTGCATACAAATGGAGACTAAATGGAGCTAAATGTTTGCAATAGACTTTTTTACGGTATCAATCAGTTGTTATTTCTTATCAATTAGCAATTAAGACCCATGGCGTGCCATCGACGTTCGACAATTGATATTTCACATTTTATCCAACATTTTTTTTAAATTCGTGTATACGTGAAATATGTTATAAAGTTTGCGTTTTGCTATCCGTACCTTGTGTCCTNCTCCCTGAGAATAGGCAAATTAATATCGATCTGTCAAAATCTACATCATATCAAACAATTGCTTCGGAGAAAAATTCATTCGTTTGCCAAACTTTTGCTGACCAAATATGGCAAACTTACCTTATAAGCAAGAAGTACGTTAGAAAGATTATTTTTCAAAGTTTTTTCCAACTTTTAGTGCTTTAAAATTGCTACAACTTACAGAATTAGTAGAGAAATTACTTTTCAACGTAAAAGGACCCCACAAAAACACAGGTAGACCGCGCGAATGTTAGGCAATTGTTTGATATGTATAAAAGTGACAGGAAATACTTGGACAAGCGATATTTTTTTGCCACATTTTATAGTTCATGTTCGGTTAACTGAACACATAAACGAGAGCGCCAAAGTCATTCAAATATATTATGTCTTTTATCATATGTAGTGATTTTAAGGATGGAAGAGTTGTCTTATTTCTTCGTGTACGAAGTAACAATATGCACCAAAAACACCTCAAGACCACGTACGAATGGATGTGGAGCAAATTGCTGACTTTTAACAATGCTTCAGCAAATTCAGCGAAGCGATGCCAAAAATGGGCAGAAAAAGAGAGAGACATCGTGCCATACGTTGGTATGTAGATGAAGTTTATAGTGGCGTTTATTTCGTATGTACCCATTAATAGTCCTATTCTTATCTAGTCCACTGTCTAAAATATAGCATGTGAGTTCATTCTATCACGGATTTTATCAAACATACATGAAATACACCTATTTCAGAAAACGTTGGCTGAAACGATGATTGTCTGAGGGAGATTGCTCGACCGAAAGGAACTATAGTTACGCTCTTTTGAAAAATAAAATGTCACTTATTGGATTCACCTTGCATACAAATGGAGACTAAATGGAGCTAAATGTTTGCAATAGACTTTTTTACGGTATCAATCAGTTGTTATTTCTTATCAATTAGCAATTAAGACCCATGGCGTGCCATCGACGTTCGACAATTGATATTTCACATTTTATCCAACATTTTTTTTAAATTCGTGTATACGTGAAATATGTTATAAAGTTTGCGTTTTGCTATCCGTACCTTGTGTCCTTTCCAGTTTTGTCTGCGTAATGCAGTGAAAAA